GTTAGGTCAATCTGGCACCATATTTCTTCAATTTAGTCCAATAAGGCGCTCTAGACTATCACGACGCACTACCAGTCGCGCCCTACAAAACCATCGGCTGACAATAAAGCCCAATCCTATCTAGGACTAGGGATCAGGCTTCAATAGCTTCTTCTTAATCTGGTCTTCATAGCAACATCCTTCAAGTAGGGATTCAAGACCCCCTCCTTAAAGACTGGTTCGTGGACTCACCGGAAAATTATAACTGCGTCCTAGGCAGTGGAGCTCATCACTCGCGGCAGCCAAAGTACTGCGTTTGTTCAAAATGTTGACATAGGCGCAGCGCGTTCAACATTTTGACCAGTTCAATTTCCAGTCGCCCCTGATCCACCTTTTTAGTTAGAACATGGTGGAGTTGAGAAGACTGTGAGGTAGGTCCTGTCTAGATCACACGCAGCTCAACAATGAAGTGTAGGGAAAGTGGTGTTACCCATCACCTGAAACAGACGAACTACTAGGCGTCCGGCGCCTTAACCTGGTGTGCTGCAGTAGTGAATTCATGTGAGTGTTCTGAAGAATGTATGGGTGCAATAAAGAAGGTATAACCACATCGATTGATCGTCAATCGCACTAAGTGACTGGGTGTAAGAGATTATCAGTCTACTCTGGCTTATCAGGCGTCCAACTTCCACTTACAGTTCAATGAAACCGCGCTGATCACATGAGTAATACCACGTAACCGTTTGGATAGACTACGTAAAGGTAGATGGAAGGAGCCAACGCAGTTCGCCAACGTCAGCAGAGGTCGGCGTTAGGCACCGAAAAGATTGGTCACCTTTCCCGTGACAAAGAGGGAAGAAGGAGTTGCATCATCATCTCAATCCTTCTCAAGTTTATGCTCTCTGTAATTCCAGCCGGTATACCCCCCCCCCCCCCCCCCTAATGATATCAGCCATGGCATTAAAATAAGACTTTTTGACATTCATCGAAGGCATGTCTACACTAGAAGTCAATTTCAGTGACCACGGTTTCACCACCGTGGACAAATACACTTACTTGGGAAGTACGGTCTGACGTAGTCACAGTGGACGGCATGATCGAACGCTTCGCAGATGTTGCATGCAACGTCAGAAAACTGGCGGAACACGTGTCAGGACTCTTAATGAGTACCTGTGCTGTCAGCACGGTAAATCATTCAGTATTTGAACTCTAGAATCTTGAAAGTTGGGCGGGCCTATAGAAAATGCCAATTCTTCCATGGATAACTATTACTAACAAAGGCGAAGGAGATGGAAGTCATTTTGGCTTAGTTATTGCTGTTAGCCAGCCCAGGCAACGAGACTCAAGTGCTCCGTATGGAATTGCGGCGTTGTTCATTTGCCAACAAGGGTAGTCATGAGAACAATTATCACTCCAAACACGTACGACTTTGAAACCTGAGCCTTCCTACCGGCGGTGGGAATGCTGGCAGCGCCGCCCTGTGGCGCAAAATTAAATCGGCATGGTTGTAGGGTGGCCCATTGGCATGTCGATTAAAATAAGTCTTCTGTCGCTCGTACGAGGCGTCCAAAGGGTTCTGGTTAGGTTGTGAATGAGCGGTAAGGTCTGGGCGAAGTAAAGGGACTGCCTCTGTCTACTTAGTAAGACAGTCAACCATCACTAAGATGTAGCAATTGACAGCTGAAGTAATTGGTAAGGGTCCAATCACGTCAGTGCCCACACGTTTAAACGGAAATTCCGTTATCATGTACTGGTGCTGTGCGTCGAGGGTTGGGCCCTATAAGGGAAGCGCACGTGTTACAGCAAGTGGCGACTTGTTCTCTGAGGCCTGACCACCGAAAACGTTGCCTTGCCGCGTCTTCCGTTTTTATATGGCCGACGTGGCCTAGATCGTGATGGAGGTTATTCAGCCCGGGAATTACTATGCTACCAGGCACCACGAGTCGTGGTATGTTATACGCACCGTCCTTAAAGAACAGTAGCTCGTGATTCATGAGTAGATGGGACGAGTAGAGGGTACGAGCAATTTCAGACGAACCGCGGAGCTTGCTATCGGTCGGGTGGTGTTCGCCAAGGAGTTGGTGTTCGTAAACGATAGCAATCTCGAGGCCCGTGTTTTGGGTAGTCGCCGAATGAGAGCATGTCGGTTCGCTGACAGTGACCCGTTTATAGTCTCAAGTTTATGTAACTGCTCGCCATCTGTGTCGCGACAGACCATTTACATCGGAGTGTTTCGTGCGAGGCCGGAACTGACAATTCAGACTGTTCTAACGTCCTTTTCCATCGCGTCAATTGTTCCTTGGCATCCTTCACACTGCATTCACTACTGGGCCTTATGATCCGAAAGATAATAAAATGCTGGCCATTCGAAAAGGGTTTTGCTTGGCGAACGTCACTAAGGCATGTGGTTTCCTGCGATATGTGCAACAGTTACGCTGAGGCTTGGTTAGCGTTTTGCTGGTAAGGCAGATAGATCTTTCGATTACTGTCTCGCCATATTGTGAGGAGAACGCTACCTATGGCTAACCCACTGGTATCGCTGCCCAGGATGAATGTGGGAGCATCAAGCCGTGTCTTGGATAACATCAAATAGGTTCCGTAGTTAGTCGTGTTTTAGTTCGTCGAATGCGAGTTGACAATCTTCCGTCCACTTAAAGATTTGCCCTCTTTCATTAAGCCGGTGCAATGGGTGTGTAATCTCAACGAAATTTAAGATGAAGCTCCCGTATCTACTAAAGCTCTAGCTGGACATCGTCGACATGAATAGTCGTATAAAACGGTGAAGTATTGTGAAAACTAGATGAACAAATGAGGAGAAAATCAACACCACATTGGTTGTCTCCTGGGCGGTGCACGAGCGTGGGGTAGGGCGGACGTCCAACGTAACCCCTATGGGGACGGCAGGTGCTGTTGGTTGCGGGAGCGAAGCTGGTGAACCTGTATCCTTCGCGTTGACGACAGTACCTGGGGTTATATAGGGGGTCCCCGGCCAGGGCGCCGATTTCAAAGATCGTGCTCGTCTGGCCCGATCAATCGCGTCGCCCTCTGGATAGGCCGTTTGAGGTCGCCAGGTGGGCGGATGGGAGGGGAACACGGCGCCTTATGAGAATCAACGCCACGTCTGAAGTGGTACAATACCACCTGGGCTCGGGTCAACGGCAGCTAAGATGGAGTGAGCGTCAGCCGCAAACCGCATCAGTTCATCGGAGAAATTTTTGGCGTTACGTCGACCTAACGGCGTCGCCTAAGTGGCTGGTCGACTGTATCTTCAATGACAAGCTATGGTTGGGACAGATTTCGAAGTTAGTACCATTGCACTTCAAAAGAGGCGGTGGTCGAAAGCCCGGCGTCCAGGGCCTTGTCTGACTGCTCATAAGATAAATTTCTGAATACCCGGCGGCTATGCTGTGCCTGTAGGACTTCGTCCAAATGGAAACGCGGTCTGTGTAATTAACAACGTAAATCATTCCCACCGTCAGTGGTAAAGGGGGAACAGGATTGCCCATTGACAGCTCGGCTCGTAGAGATTACTGATACTACTGTAGTGTCTGTGTTTCTCGTTGGGTCGAACTTCGATTCTCCGTAGGTATTGCAATCAATAAATTCTTCAGTAATGAGGAATATATATGGTTTGTCTTTCCAGGGACTCAGATCTTGTGAACTATTTTTGACGTTGCTCATTTCCAACATGTTGGAAATAACTGCACAGCCACTCGCTGCAGGAATATATTGAGAAAAATTTTCATTGTTATCTCCAAAATTATTAACTTCCAAAATGCTTGTTAAACCAAGATTCATCAAGAATGTTTTTAGTTTCGCCTGGAGTTTTCTTCAGTCGCAATATGTGAGGTCACCCCACCGTCTGCGTCCTTGTCAACTTCCCGCACGTTTACAAGTACGAAACAAAGAACAAGGAGTAAAAAACGGCTTTATGTCTCACCAAAACAAACAGGACCCAGTTGGTCCCGTACGAGCTAAAATACACGGAAATGATACTCGCGGCAGTTTTAAAAATCGAACCTGCGACGAATTATATTGGCTGTAAAAGGTGAAGATTCCCAAGCCCCAACACAAAAAATGTTTTATTCGGGAAACTGTATACATTCGAACGGAAGAATGGTAGTAGCGGCAAGGAAACCAAGGAGAGAAAGGGCCAGTAGATTCCAGCAAAGGGTTGGGGATGTAGGCATCAGTTCAGCAATGAACAGCAGACAAACGACAGAAAAACGGTACACCCCAACCCAGAGAGTTTGGGTAAAATAAGCAAGAAAAACATTAAAGATGAAAATCCAATTAAAAGTCTCAAAAAGTGATCGGAAGAGATAAATTTGGGGAAGACAAAATCAGCCAAAATTTTGTAAAACGAATATTTCTTATATCTAGGAAAAAATGGTATAAACAAGACAATACCCGTGCAGAACGAAAGAGTACCGTTCGTAAGTATTACATTGTTTAGCTTAAAATTCATTCGCAATCAACTATGCCGAATGAATCTCGATTTTACGTGGAGGTAAGCTGAAATACGCAGGAAAGCGCTAATAGCTATTAGGTATTAGGGACGTTATAGCAACCAGCTAGAAAACTGTGCCAGCTTAACAGTACAGGTTTATGAACGTTTTTGATTTTCCTCTCCATGTTTTCTCATACACCTGAACTTTTCTACACTGCTGTTTGAGTATGCTTAAATTCACACACAATCGGCTTAGGATTTCGAGAACGTGTGTTTTCCGTCTACATGCTGTATGGTGTCACGGTTTCATTTATTACGCCCATGTGCCTCAATCCTTTTTAGTCAACTGCCACAATCAATTCTTATTCCCTGATCGTATCTCGCCAGAGCAACAAGCTCTACTAGCCGACTTCAGCTCGGAACTTTCAGGACTTCACCCAAAACACTCTCCAATGTACAAAAACTGACACTGTAGAGGGCTTTATTTTACGTGAGTCTGCACAAATATTTACCTTTGCTGTTTTTATCATACTTTTTTGCTGCCCCTTTTTCGTAGGAAAAGCAACGTCCCTCACTGAGAGTTAAGTTATCCCTGTGTCTATTGTTTTTTTTTTGTAGTTTAAATTTCTATCTACACTACCAAGGGCACTAAATGGCTCGAATCCATGATGAAGATGGTGTAACCGTTTGTCAGCAAAAATAGTTAGTACACGTCCCTCTCTACCGACGACCCCCTATCCGCAAATCATTGCAACTTTCTCTCTCTCTCTATGCCAGCACGTCCCACGGCCTTCACCTGCATATGTCCACTACGCAGCTATCCCGACTGGTTGTCTATCGGACATGTTGGCGTCAATTTCCCATTCAGACGGAACATCCTGCCGTTGTAAATCACCTTTCTTTATGCCATTTACCGTTTTTCTACATACCGAACGCATTTTTTGCATACATTTTGCACCTGTTTATTGGTTCTTCCTTCTTACATGATGAGTACGATGCGCGCCTCACTACCTTGTTCAGCCAGTCTTAGGTCAGTTATCTTTAGAGCTTATCGTCACGCCGTGTGTACTATTCTCAACGTCTTCAGCCGCTACACCACCTGTCAGTTTATTTGGGCAGCTGCTAAGGTCTGACCGCATCATTCGTTTGGGTCTCTCAGGGGGCTTATCATAGTTGTGTGGACCAGCAGCTGAAGAAGACGAATATATATCAAGAGCATGGAACTGCCAATAGCAAGTCGCAATCAAAGATATGAAAATAATAATGTATCAGGCGGCATATTGGCTCCCATAATCTGTTATTATTGGAGGAATGGTCGGCTGTTTCATGTAATCCGTTATACACCGCTGCATGCACGTTAGTCCTGCCCGCGTTTTTGTCTTATCATGAGCCACAGTTTTTTTTTCCTGTAAAGTAAATCCAATCATTTTTTGAATTCTTAAATGGAGTTTTTTCCACTTCTCGTTCGTTATCTTTTTCAAGGAACTACTTATTCAGAAACTATGAATTACATTTTGTACAGATTCTGCCTACCTCATCTAAAATTCATTTGAATATTCATTTTTACTTGCTTTGCTGGGACCCCGATGAATCTGTAAAAAAAAATATTTATTTATGTGATGATGATGATGATGATGATGATGATGATGATGATGATGATGATGATGATGATGATGATGATGATGATGATGATGATGATGATGATGATGATGATGATGATGATGATGATGATGATGATGATGATGATGATGATGATGATGATGATGATGATGATGATGCTGATGATGATGATGATGATGATGATGATGAATGGTCTTGTATAGGCATATGATAGGCTCATATAGGTGAAAAGACAACAAGTATGTAGAGCTTTATCGAAAGGTTGGTTAGTTTTAGTTGCTTAAGGGTTTTTACTATATGGTGAGACTGCTGGTAAAAATGAGAAAGGGAAAAACGGAGAGATATTTCTAATTGTACTGTGCTTATTACTGATGCTATCCCTCTTTAAATAAATTTTTTATGTTTATGTTCTGGTGTTATTCTGGTATGTTCTGGTGCTATTCGATTGACTTAAGTCACTGCCATCACTATAGCCCATTTAGACCAAATTATATGCCAAAATGACTTGAGAAGTTCAGTTCAGTTTATTGAGGGAAATAGGCGTAAGCCTTTGAGTACCCTATATGCAACGTAAAAAAATATGTGATATACAGATAAATGTTCTGGGCTGAAATAGTTCAAGCATGCCCATAATTGTAGGACAAAATGAGAACGGGTTACAGGGGGTGAGCTCTACTTCTCATCGCTCTTGGTCATTTCGGAACATAAATATGTCAAGATTCTTTTTAAAACTTTGTATGGATGGTGACATCACCACATCTGCAGGAAGGGCATTCCATGGTTTGACCGCTCGAACAGAGAAGGAGAACTTCCGTACATCCAACCTTGCATACTAAGTGCGCAGTTTTAACGGGTGACCTCGGGGGTTGGTCGTGGTGGCAAATTCAAAAAAGTCCTCGAAGGCCAAACTGCAATCCAACCCCTTAACAATGCGAAAGGCTTGCAAGAGATCCCCGCGAAGTTGCCTGTAACTCAAAGGAAAGAGGTTCAGATTTACTAGGCGAGTTGCATAAGGAAAGGAGCTTTTACCCCTAACCATCTTCGTGGCTCTCCTCTGGGCTCTTTCGAGGCAGTTTTGATCCTCAACAGCCCACGGCCTCCAAGCTTGTATGCCGTACTCCAAATGCGGCCGGACGAATGTTCCGAATGTCTTTGAGAAAGCATCTTCGTCAAAGTCCATAAACGCACGCTTGATGGAGTACAGTACGGACATTCGGTTTTTGGCACTCTCGAACAGTGGGCGGATGGCTTTAGGGAACTGGTCGTCAGCACACCGATGTCTTTTTGGGCTTCGACCTCTTTTAAGGCTGCACCGCCCAGAAAGTAGTTTCTTGTGCAGACGGATCTGGCTGTGTGGCCTAGGCTAAGTATGCTACATTTGACAACGTTGAACCGCAGGAACCAACGGTTTGACCACTCCTCCAACCGATTTGGGTTCATCTGCAGTCTGTCTTCGTCGGCAGGACCCCGAATTACACTCCATATCTTCATGTCGTCAGCATACATTGCTACTTCGCAGTTTAAAGCTCTTGCGGCATCGTCCACGTAGATAAGGAACAAAATGGGTCCCAGTACTGAAGTACATTACAGAAGTGTCTTATCTCATCCAAATAAATGCTATTTAAAGGAAATTTCTTGGTTTTATTTTAAATTCTATTAGGTTTCGACTTTTTCGAATGGAACTTGGGAGGGCATTAAATATAGTCGTGTATCTAATGGAGCAAAAGTTTGATTCAGTTTATTCAGTTTATTTGATAAGGTTGACAGGCGAAGCCTTTGAAAACCCTATTGATTACATGTCAGCTCGTTAGAAATAACTGTACAGGAACAATGAAAATATTCGCTATATAAACAGTACTTGATTCATTTGAGTAGCATTGTCTCCGAGGAAAAATCTGTGGGGAACCGGGGTATTTAGCTCAGATTCAGACTGTCGAGGGAAAACAGGGGACACAAATAATCATCCAAGCGTTTCTTGAAGAGTAGCAGGGATGTCGCCTCCACGACTGACTGAGGGAGATCGTTCCATCTCCCCACTACCCTTTGCGTGAAAAATTCAGAACGAAGGTTCAGCCTGGACATTGTTGTCCGTAACTTCATCGAGTGGCCACGAAGATTGGGTGTAAGGTGCCACTGAAACATGTCCTCAAATTTAAGTCCATGCTCAAGGCCATTCATTATCTTGTACACCAGGATAAGATCACCTCTTTGCTGCCTGTAACACAGAGGGAATAAATTAAGGCAATTCAGTCTGTCTGTGTATGGTTGGCTTTTTAGACCGTTTACCATCTTTGTTGCCCGACGTTGCACCCGTTCGAGGCATTCTTGGTCCTTTACCAGCCATGGCCGCCATGCTTGTAGGCCATATTCTAAGTGGGGACGAACGAAGGTGCCGTAAACTCTCCCAAAAAGGTCTTGGTCAAAGGTAACGAACGCCCATTTGATTGCATGCAGCACTCCCGTGGCGTTTTTTCGCAGCCTTGTGGCTCTGCAGTGTTGGTTTCAGGTTGTTTTGTATCCAAACCCCGAGATCCTTCTGTGAAGATTCGGCGGGAAGTCTTATATCTTTCAGGTGATATGTCCTCAGGCTCTCAGTTGAATGAGAGTTGGTTGGACGCAGATGAAGGACGGCACACTTCTGCACATTGAAGTCTAGAAGCCATTTCTCCGACCAAACTTGCAGTCGATGAAGATTGTTTTGGAGGGCTCTCTGGTCGTTAGGACTCTTAATGACTTGCCAGAGCTTAACGTTGTCAGCAAACATTATTTTGCCACAGTCGAGTTCCTGAAGGCTGTCATTAACATAAAGGAGGAATAGCAATGGTCCCAGAACTGAGCCTTGAGGCACATCACTTGTCACGCTCACCCATTCTGACATATCATCACCGATGCAAACACGTTGTTTCCGACCAACCAGAAACGCCCCTATCCAGTTCAGAAGACCTCCCCGGATGCCGATGGCGCTCAATTTGTGAGGAAGGCGTTGGTGCGGAACAGTATCGAAGGCTTTGCGAAAATCGATGGACACGACATCAACCTCAAAACCCTCTTCTAGGGCCCTGGTCCAGATCTCCAGACAAGCTAGCACATTTGAGAGGCAGGAACGTCCTCTCCGGAAGCCATGCTGAAAATCCTGCAAGATGTTATTTTCTTCACAAAATTGCTGTATGGCACTCTTTACTAGAGCTCCCATCGTTTTGCACGAGCGGCAGGTTAAGCTAATAGGCCTGAAACAGCTTGCTGCCATCCTGCTACCGCCTTTATGTAAGGGAAAGAGGTTAGCTGTCTTCCACTGTGATGGCAGCCTTCCTGTTCTTATTGACAGCTCAAAGAGCGTCGAAAGAGGCTTCGACAGCTCCGTTGACAGTTCCTTAAGTATCAGCTCAGGAATTCCGTCGGGTCCAGGAGACTTATCTGGTTTTATTTGACTGAGGACGCGTCTTACTTCCTCGACGTAAAAGGCAACCGTTTCAATGACGGCAGTATCATGGCGCATTTGAAGCTCCCGGCTGTTTCGGTCCATTTCAAACTGCCGATCGTCTTCTGAGGACTCCTCCGTAAAGACCGATTGAAAAAACTGAGAAAGTAACTGCACTTTCTGTGGCCCTTCGACTAACAAGTTTCCGAGGC